ATCGGTGCACTGCTATAAACGGCTTTAAAGGGGTCATATGATGCTTTTTTAAAGATCATTATTTTGTGTTAAATCGCATCATATGACCCCTTTAAAAAGTAAGAGGACTTACTAAAAGACAAGTCCAGACTAAGGCTATATTTTAATTACATTACATTTACATTTTAAAGCTGAGATATCAAAGTAATTCTTGTGAATTCAAATATGTAAAGCATGAAAGATGATACATTTTTCCTCCTGGAGTTGAAATGTTCAAGGTGTGGGGTACTTTAGAGCTGATGAGTCAAAAGAGAAGGCACCACAGACAGGTTTGACCAGTCTCTGTATCTCTCTCTCTCACACACACACGCACACGCACACACGGTTAGACACAGGCTAGGCCCTACTGCGCAGTAGTTTAAAGGAAAAACACTTCTATTTGTTGCGAATTGGGGTCATTATCAAGTACAGTATATACAGTACAGTAGTCAACATTTGAAGTGTATCAAAAAAGTTAAAAGTTGTCCTAAAACAAGAATGCATCTTGGTTTTAGGTTTTAGGACAACTTTGATGAAAGGTTTTGATCCACTTCAAATGTTGACTAGTGTAATATTATTCCATTGTATGTTCAGTCACATCAGTCAAAATGTTTCACAAAATTATTATAATATAAATATTATATTAACTTCACTTAACATATAAACATTGTTTTTTTCGTTTAATAACTAACATTACATTTATTAAATTTATTAAATAAATGATATTACATTTTTCAATTTTATATATACAGTGCCACATTTGTATATACATACATTTGATGTGAATGCGTCTTGTGAGTTGCAGTTGGAGCTGGAGCCGCGAGACATAATACAGCGCATTGCTTGAGGTAGATGTTGTGTTTTGTTAGTAAATGTTTCATTATATTACTAGTGTTGCCTCCTTTGTTCACTATTACACTACTGCATATATTGCATCTGACACTGGTGTCGCTTAGTTTTGTAACGTGAGCCCACACTTTCAAACGTTTCACTCTTGCCGCGATGACGGATTGCATGCAAACACACACCGCACATGTGCATGGATATAACACGTACATCGAGAAAACGTAGGCCACATAATTCAGTGAAGGGAAATGACAAGCAGCAGCTTCTAATTCGTCGTTAACATTGAAGTATACGGAGATAAAACAACGCAAGTACCGGTAAAAATACCGGTTCTCGGTACCCATCCCTAGTTTTATAGTTTGTGCTATAGATGATTCCATTCTATCATCTATTGCACAACTGTACATACAATTTATTTATTTTTCGATTTATTTTTCAATATTTGTCTATTTATATTTACATGTGTATTCTTTTTATGCTCATCTTATTTTTTATTGTCTGTGTGTTGTTGTTGTCTCTGTGTACTGGAAGCTTATGTCACTAAAACAAATTCCTTGTCTGCGCAAGCATACTTGGCAATAAAGCTCTTTCTGATTCTGATTCTGATTCTGATTCTGATCATGCCAGAACCCAGCCAGTGAGTTCTACCACTCACATCGAAGTGGTGGTATTCGTTCAATAATTTCCTGTATGCCCTGAAGCACCATTCATCAATT